GATCTCATTTCATATTTCTCTCCCCACCTCATTCTCTCTCTCCCCCTGCTCCTTCAACCCCAAACCCTAGATCCATCTACCGCCGCGCCCTATCGTGGACGCGGCACCGCGTCATCTACCGTCATCTTCGCTCCCGCTGCTGTCGTCACCGTCGTCCTCTTTTAGGGCTGAAATGTGTCGGAGTTCACCAGAGCTCGTTGGATATCAAGTTTAGGGCACCGACAAATTTTTGGGAAAATCTTTTAACTTTTTGTTTTTCTCCTAAATTTTTACATATTCTCACTATTTCATGCTAATAACTTATTTAATTTTAGATTTTGAAATAATTTTTAAAATATTTATGAATTTTGTAAAGAAAAAATAAAGAAATTTGTATATGAAGCTAGAGGGGAAATTAGGGAAAATTGTAAAAGTTAGTGTATTATTTTTTAAATTTTAAAAGTGAATATTGTTTAAATTATTTAAATTAGGCAATCTTAAAAATATAAAGGTTTGACATTTGGCAAAAATTATGGATGTGTAAAATCAAGATTAGAGGATTTAATTGTAAATAATATTTTTTATGTTTTTCGTGTAATATTGATATTGGAATTTTTTTCTCTTCAGAGGTAACGATGAACGATCGAATCTTAATTTTTTGTTCATATGATGAGAAGATTAACTATCTCGAGAATAATATGCTTATATATGAAGGAGGTGTGACGAAACCATTGTTTATATCAAAATCATGTACTTTCGATGGATTGGTTAATGACTTACACAAACTTACATTAACCGATCCACGTGAGTATCACCTCAACGTGATTTGCAATTATCCTATTATAGAGAATAGAACAAGCAACATTCAAATCTCAAGTGACTAGGATATAGATCTCATTGGAATATTATATGACGAGAAGCATTTTGTGGAATTATTTATTGAAAAACATCACAGAAATTTAGGCAAATCAGTGAATCACGACGGAGTATACTCTCGCATGTTAGAGGACCTTGAAGTTGACTCCATCGGCTTTTTGTCTCCGCAACAGGATATGAGATGGACACAGTCACAATACTTGAGTGATCCTTCGCTTGTGGGCACTTCATATGCCTTCGATGATAGCGCTCCTCATCAAGATATAATGCCTTCTACATGAGTGACGATAGAAGATGATAATACAAGTGTCAAATTCGAGAATGATGACGAAGAGGATGGCTTACAAATAAATAACATGACGTGTTTGATAGATCGTGATGGAAGGGGACAACCAATATATTGAGTGATGTTATTCTAACAATGAGTATATCGTATTAGAGGATCCACCGCCCAATGAACTTCATGGAGAAGAATGGATTGATGACTCCACAATGGAAAGTATTCCTATTGACACTAATTTAAATGATGATACAAAAGTTGAGGACTTCTCATTCAGAAAGGGGGATCTATTTGAAAGTAAGGAGAAATTATTCATGTGCTTCGTTTGTGGGCCATCAAAAAAATATCAAGTTTAGGCAGACGAAAAGCAATGCAACAAGCGATAAAATAGTTTATTTTTACCGTAAAGATGGTGAGGAAGAAGATAGTGGTGGGCACCACAATGAAAATGTAAAATGTCTTTAGAAGCTTAATTCACGCTTGGGGGTAAGAGTAGGTGGGCAATTTAAAATAACACACTACAACGGACTTCACACATGTAGCAATCCCCGATTAGAGATGAATCATAAACATACATTTGTCTCTTTTATATTTATATATTGATTGATTATACCTAAACTAAGGGAAGATCTTAATCTAACGCCAAAGGATATTTGTATTTTAGTGCATAAAGAGACCAACTTGGATGTATCATACAACAAGTGTTAGAATGCTTGAAGGAAGGCGATGATAAAAATATTCGGAGATTGGGACAAATCTTATGAGATCTTACCATATTATCTTGAAGCACTCAAAAAAAATCCGGGGACAGTATACAAAGTATCATCAGATCCTGTTGACGGTAGAGATAGATGATTCACAGGGGTATTTTGGGCATTTATACCTTGCATTGAGGGATTTAAATATTATTGTCCTATTCTTAGCATTGATGGTACCCACTTGTATGATAAATATAAAGGTGTTTTGCTTGTTATAACCGGAGTAGACGCAGATGGCGGTTTATTTCCTTTGGCCTTTGAAGTGGTTGATGTTGAAACACAAAAATTTGGGCATGGTTTTTTCATGCATTAGATAGCATATCCCTAGTCTGCGAACGCGATCGATTACATTCATATCTGATAGGATGAAAGGAATTCTAATAGCACTCCAACGACAGTTTCTGTCACCGCATCAGCATCGCTATTACTTGCAACATATTAGGAACAACTTCAAGAGGAAGCATGGACAAGTGCATCTTCAAGATCTTCTTTGACAAGTTAGATGTGCAACTGAAAAATTAGTTTATGAGCTATTACGGGAGAAGATTAAGTCCATTTCACAAGCTGCACATGATCGGATCGAGACTAGTTTGGGTCCGAACAATGTCGATAGGGGGCCTTATGTTAAGATGTTGGAAAACGATTTTGTATGATGACCACTAACGCTTCTGAGAGTTTCAATGGTATGCTAAGGGGAGCATGTGGTATGCTAATATTGTCATTAGTTGCAAAAAAAATTACAGACTTAATAAATTCTTCCTCAGACGATGCACACTTGGAACAAATATCCCATGGGAGTTGACGCCGAAAGTTGAAGGCGTATTAGCTGATCGGATTGCGCATGCTCGATCATTTCGTGTTGTTAGATACAATTTTAATGTATGGGAGGTTATTGAGGGAATATCACATAGAGAAAATCTCTATTACAAAGTTAATATGCTAGTGGATCAAACTTGTACATGCACTTGCAATATGTCGCAATTACAATGGCTTCCTTATTCCCATGTTGTAGCGGCTTGTTCGGATCTACAGAGGGGTGCGAGAATATCACATTATACATTCGCCGCAAATTGGTATTCAACTTATAACTACCAACAAACGTACAAAGAGTGTTTTCGTCCATCATACGATAGTCGACATTGGACACAATGAGGGCCACGAATATTACCTTATGTGTATAAAAGATCAGTTAGGCGACCTCATTCTGTACGAATTAGAAATAATATGGATGATGACCGAGAAAGAATTAGGAGGAAAAATAAGTGTAGTAAGTGTGATTAACGGAGCCACAACAAAAGCAGTTGTCCAACTAGGCGTGACGATGGAGCCGGCACTTCTCATAGTGCGGTGCATGCTAATGGAGCCGGCACTTCTCACCCTCATACACAACCTGATGCTCAGATCATCGAGGCTCATCGACATGGACAAAGGGGGGGACGGGGGGAGGGGGGCAGAGTGAGGGGAAAGGGTAAGAGAGGGAGAGGAAGGAGGGGAGGACGTTTAGGATATATGTGAAATTTACATTATGATTATGAATTTCAAGGATGTATATAGTTAGATTGTTCAAATTTTTTGCTTGTGTGGATCGATTTTTGTTTATATATGTAATTTCTGTGTGTATTGTTTTGATTCATGGTTGAATTTAATGAATATTATTGTAATTCAGTATATATGCCGCAAATTTGATGTTTATGGTTGGATTTTCATGTATATTGTTGTGAATGAGACGGAAATTTCATTATATATAACAGGTTATGAATTGTAAAATTTACAGGCTCATTAGGTAAAACATGCACACATTCTGTGTAGGTTTTAGGGAACCTACAACTCCACGGGATTTCAAATCCCATGAAGTTACAGGCCTAAATTCCAGAGAGCCGTCACTCTCTAGAGTTGGCGCCTGCAACTTCATGGGATATGAAATCCCGTGAAGTTTCATCTTCACACGATTTCAAATCCCGTGAATATGTGGCTTCCCACGTACCCCTACTAACTCATGCTCTAATTAGGCCTGAAACTTCACGGGATTTTAAATTCTGTGAAGTTTTCGATGTTTTTTCGCCATTTTCGACCCAGTTTCAGCCAGCTAGCTGAAACTGGGTCGCAAATGACGAATATTTTCAAAAGGGGCCGTTTTATTAAAATAAGTTTCTAAATGGGTCTATTTTAAAAATTTGTCCTATAATGTTGCAGGAAGGAAATGACTGCAGAAGGCTTGGATCTTTGTTTTATTGTTTTGAAGTATATCTTTATTTATTTTTTCTAATATTGTGTTGATATATTGGATTTGTAATGTTTGTTTCATTATTTGGAGATGTGTGAGACATTCTTTTGGTTGGCAATGTCACTTATGAATGAATGCTAGATGGTACGTTAAGATTTTTATGTTAGACATGGATATCGTTTTTGTATTATGTGCTTCCTATATACTTTTGTTTTATTTGAGTGACTATAGTTTAGATTTCCTATGATGCCTCATTAACAATCAACAATAGAAATTGAGAAAACCATTTCCAGCTCATGTGTTCTCTTATGTTTTAGTTTTTTATTCAAATTAAAGATTGAGCTAGAAAACATTTCCGATCCTATTTTCCATGTTGAAACAGACAGTTAAAACCCTTTTCTAAAAAAACCTATGGAAAAGCTTCTACTCCTTTCCAAGGTTTCCTGTACTTTTAGGAAATGAAACAAATAGGCCATTAATTTTTAATCTTTGATTCTTTAAAATTTTAATGTTCGATTCTTTAACAGATGGTTGAAGATAGATTGTGATTCATTCTATAGAGAGGATTCAAATACCCCAAAAATAGAGATAAAACTTAGGTGCTTCATCATTAAAAAACAAAGTTTGAGGCTTTTTCAAAAGAGGAGTAAAACTTAAGGCTCTTTAAACTATCCTCTCAAGCACACACTATAAATTATAATCCATACGTTTAATATGTCCAGTTGGTCCTTATTTTAAGTTCATGGCCAATTTGCATTTAACAAATCTGTTGTAGTCGAGCGTTATTGATAGATCTCTTTGGGATAGAAGTGTGGTGATCTTATAATCTATGCAATACCTGGTAAAGTCCCACTTTGCATCAGTAACCGGAGGGGGGGAAATAAGGAATTTTCTCATGTTAGTGGACCAACGTTCAAATACAAGGTATAGGTGTGAATTACTTCATAAGAAAAATAAAAATACAGACTATATAATCAACAATCTGTATCCATACATTTCTTTACAATGTCCACGTGTAAAGGGATAAAAGACTACAACAGTGGATATCCAAAGACTCCACTGCACTTTCTTGTTTCAGGAGTAAAGAATTGTGAGCTCTTTACAAACATGTGAATGGTAAAAGCAAAAGGAGATCGTAACACGTCATGACAACCTGAAAGATTCTTGAGTTCTAAGAGGAATTCCTTCCGAGTAGCCATCCTCATCTGCGTGTTTCGGGAGTCGTGATGAAAGAGATGGTGAATGACCTGCAGGATGAAAAGAATATTACAAATTTCGCATAAGTTTGGAATCAACATGATCTCAATATATAGTATTCTTGAAGGATAGGAGGTATACCATCAACCATGTCCTTTGTCTTGTGAAGGAGAAAGGTTCCAGAAAGAATTGTTACAAAGCCACACATTTCAGTCATGATTTGTGTTGGGTTTTGCCGATCCCAGTCCTACATGCCAAAGGCAGTAAAAGATAAAGAAAAGGTTACTAGTGGCACTTCAGAACAACTGCCGGCAATTTACAGCCGAGTAGAGAACCTCGAAACAAAGTAACTTCCTATCCCAAGCTTGGTTAGTATATGAAGTCACAGTGAAAAGGACATCCAATTAAAGAAGAGCTCGAAACCTAAGCCTGTAATTCTGATGAAGAGCATGTTGACGAAGAGCAACATAACACAATAATCTCATGCATGCACACATTCTTTAAGATGACAAAAGCCATGATCAAGTTCTAAAAAGGATCAGTCCAAGGTAACAAGAGACTAGTGATTGGTTATGCCTTTCACCACAGGTAAGATAACTAGAGCTTAATCATAATCGTAGAGTCAGCTAACTAATTCTTCACAAACAAAAAAGAGCTACCAGCATAAACAGATGATGGGCGTTACTTTCCATATGAATTTTAATACTAGATTAAGAATATTACATAGAGAAAAAGGGTTCTGAACAAATATCTAGGTAAAGGCATTGTGGTCAATGTTTTGCTCCTGCTTTTGTTTATAATAACCTAGTCCCAACATTCTGTCCATAGTTAAGAGAACTCCATATTGTTCACCCTACTCTACATTGTTTATAATAACTTAGTCCAAACAAATATCTAGGTAGGCCTTTTTTTTTTTGGAAATAATTTTCCGTGTTTAATACCCATTTACACGTTGTACCCCTACCCGTACCCATGCAACATAGCTGACGGCTCACTTGGGATTCCATGCAACATAGCTGACGGCTCACTTGGGATTCCATTTTTAGAAATGGGTCTGAAACAATTGTGGACTCAAGCCCTCGTCAGACTACTCAAGCCAATCTAAGTCCAGGATTATTATCCATTGGAATATCCATTAGGATATGGCTTTTTCTTTCATGAAAAGTTTATTCCCCTGAGATTTGAGAAAGAGTTCTTTATTCAACTCTCCATATGCCATGCCTTTTACCCAGTCCTTTTTTTGTTTACTTGCAGCAACAGGGTACCAGGTACTCTAACATCTTCATTAGTGCCTTTCTTTTTTGTGGTGCTGCTTTTTAGATGTAGCATACTCAAGAGTCAGCCACAACTAATGTGGTTAAAAGGCAAAAGAATCCTGCCAAAGGATCTGTACATCTTTTTACCAAAAGAGTGGTGTTAGGGGCACACCCCAAACCACACCTCCAACCACATCCCCTCTCCCATTCGCTACAGTACTCCGGGCCCCACATGAGTTTTTAAAATTTAAAAACTCATGTGGGGCCCGGAGTACTGTAGCGAATGGGAGAGGGGGTGTGGTTAGAGGTGTGGTTTAAGGTGTGCCCCTATCATTTCTTTTACCAAAACTGTTAATAGATATAACACAATTTATTATCCTAAAATCTCTCAGCTGGTAAGATAAGTGATCTGTACATTAGACACCTAAAAACTGGCATTTGCATTAGAAGAGAGGCTCTCATTTCGCATTTCTTCCTATTAGTTTTCCCCTGGATATTTCATCCTCAGTATCGTACTACTCTTTCCTCCCTGACACGAGGAGTTCTCACAGAAATTTTCTAAAAACAGTCTAAAAGTCGTAGGCTGTAAGGGGAAAAGGTAGAGAGTAAATAATAAACAGTGGGAAGTACACAAAATGCAGATGGTTTACAGATTAGACAGAACTCTTCTCCCCCTTCCCATTCTACAACTAAGCTTTTACATCCTTTTTGCATCCCATCCTTGTTTTCACTTTCATATCTTATGTTCTCTTGGTTTCTCCTATGTCTCCCCTGCCCATTATTTCTAATAGGCCTTAAAGTGTATGTTTACACTTCCTACTCTACTGTCCCCTTTAGAACCTTTATTTTCGCTTGAGATCATGCTCCGGGACAACAGACCCATGAATGAAACTCAGGGATGTGGAATTTCAACTAGATGGAACTCCTCAACAATAGGAAATTCCTGGGGATACATCACAAGGTGAAATCACAAGAAATAGGCGAAACTTGGGTTCACATGAAAATAGTTCACAAAAGGATCAAAGAAGAATATCAAAATGCACATCTGAAAGTATCCCTATAATTGTGTCCATATGGGCTTAAGAGGATGTGAGTGATGTGAAACAAAAAGACAAGGGGATAAGGCTTGGAAGGAAATTCAGGAAGGTCTTAGAACTTTTTTTTATCTCTATCGCCTTTTCTTCTTGAAAAGATGGTTCCTCTTCTCTTGAAATAAGTAAACAATGACAATACATAATAAGCAATACAATTATCTCTTTTAGATTTATAATAAAGGGATTGCCACTGAAACTTATTTTTAGGTCAAACATATTTGTTTCCACAACCAAAATAAATGACAGGATATAGTGTTAAAATTGATCTTGGCAAACTTCAGTTCAAAACTTAAGTGACAAACTTTAAAAATATAAAAGAGAAGGTTGAGATAGGCGTATAATAAGACGAATGTCATTTAAAATGTTAACCAAAATGTTCTGACTTCTGATCTACTTTGAAAAGAAGAGGATGAAGAATTACTAAGATTTAGATGTGCAGTCCGAATGTAGCTTGCTGAATGCAAAGGATAATTACAGAAGTGGATGGTAACATAAAAATAATCCTTTAGTGCTTAGAATCGATACTCTTAAACTCTATACATGATAGTCCAACAGATTCTACTAGGTCGAGTAAACATCACTAACCAAAATGTTCTGACTTCTGATCTACTTTGAAAAGAAGAGGATGAAGAATTACTAAGATTTAGATGTGCAGTCCGAATGTAGCTTGCTGAATGCAAAGGATAATTACAGAAGTGGATGGTAACATAAAAATAATCCTTTAGTGCTTAGAATCGATACTCTTAAACTCTATACATGATAGTCCAACAGATTCTACTAGGTCGAGTAAACATCACTTACTAACGTTTGGATACCATTGTGTTTTCCTTGTTGTGTTTTTATAAAAAAACACCATGATGTTGTGTTTTTCTCTTAAAATGTTTTCAAAACATCATGTTAAGTATTTTTGGTCAACACTAGTTTGACTCATTATAACATTAGTATTAAACATATTATTAATATATTCTATATTAATTATAATAAAATAAATTGTAAATAAAATATTATAATATTTAGTTTACATTATTATAGTATTATAAGTATTAAATGTAATGCAATATAATATTATATAAATATATAATATATATTGTACTTTAATGAGTATATTATATATAATATAATTATAATATAATTATTAAATACTATTTCAAAATAATTGATATTATATTTGGTATAAAAATGAATTTGTTATTGTTGTATATTATATAAATTTATAATAAATGTTTATTATTATATAATATTAACTATTATTAATAAAATAATATATAATATTATCATGATAATAATATTAATTAATATGTTAATATTATGTTATTAATAATTAATATATTATAATATTTAATATTATATAATAATTATACGTTTTTAATATGTTAAGAGTTTATTAATAGTCTCTTAACAATATATTAGTATTTATGATATTAAAAATATTATTATATATGACATATATTATTTTACATTAACATTTGTGAGCATAATTATTTTATTAATTAAAAATTATTTATTATAATAAATATATATATTACATAAATATATTAATATTTATAATTATTACATTTACTATATATATGTTATTATATATTATATTATTTGTTGTGTATTATTAAATATGTTACTATTATATAATATTTATAAATTTAAAATTTAAAAAATTTTATTTCAATTTATTATTAAAAAGTTAATCATATTATAGCGATTTACTATTGTAATAGTAATTATTGAATAATTTCTTCACTTTACCTTTAAAAAATTTATTATTAAAATCGACTTTTTTCTTTTATTTATGCAAACCGACGTTTCTTATTAGCGCTTAGATCACATTCTAATTAGTCGGCGGTTCAACCCCGACTATTTAGGAGTCTTAAACCCTAATTAGAAGCCTTAAACCCTAAAAATAATAATCCTAAATAGTCCCCGGGGGTTTTTTGGGGCCAAAAACCCCGACTAATTAGGATGTGGATTTAAGCGACTAATGCAGAATCGGGTCGGTTTCTGTAAATAAAAGAAAAAAGGGTCGATTTATAATAAAAAATTAATAGGCTAAAAGTGAAAATTGTTCTATATTATTATATTATTATTTATTATCAATAACTTTTTTATTATTTTTATTAGTTTATTTATATTTTATTATTATTTATTTATTATATAATACATTATTAACATATTAAATATTGGTATTTAATATGTTAATATTATTATAAAAGATATTTTATTTATTATATTTTGATATTATTTAATAAATATTACTAATATATTAAATTAACTATAATGTAGTATAGTGTATAGTATAATATAATAAGCATGTTGATAATAACTCTATATTAATTATATTTAATATATTATGTTAGATATTATATTAACACATTCTCAAACTCAAAACCAAAACATCAAACTTAAAACACCTAAAAGATGTTTTGAAATAAGTGTTGTGTTTTTTGTTTGATGGTGATTTAGCTTAAAAAGCACCATGGTTTCCAAACACATTTGTGTTTTGTTTTTGGCAAAAACACCATGGAAACAAGGAAAACACCATGGTATCCAAACGGAACCAATTAGGGTTAATTGAAAACAGACCCCTTGTAATATCACCCAATTGTAGATAGGACCCCTGTAGTTCCATTTTTGTGAATAGACCCCTTGAGTGAAATTTTCTAGCTCTTAAAATCGTTAAAAAGGTTTGAGGCGCGTAGACACCCAATAGTTCTATCGGTAAGGATATACCCTCAATGTTTAAATTTATTTGGATTTTTAAAAGAGTCGAAAAAGTTCACTAAAGGGGCGTATTCGCACTTGGGCGAATGCTAAGGGGATATATTCGCCACAAATAGAACTACAAGGGGTCTATTTGCAATTAACCCTTTATTTTTTAAGAGTTGAAGTGAAAAAGTTGCTTGTGAAAGTTCTGCGTTGATGACTGCTGATGGTGTTCTTTATCAAATAGACGACACCAGGTTGAAAAACACTATATCTCCCAGCTATGCCACCAGCTTGAATTTGCAGAATTGAAGCCAATATTCCCCTAAAACACTTTTTATAGTTGGTATTTTAAGTTTCAGCTAAAAGGGTACACTAATTTTCCCTGGTTGTACAACAAGCATAAGCCAACATAGACATGACACCGCTTCATATGGTACATTTCAGAAAAAACACAGGATATGCATGTTCCACAAGTATAACTGGCATGTGTTTAACACAAGATGGCTTCAAGACAGTGCATATGCTACTTATCAACTGTTAATTTGTCAGAAACAAGCTCAACATATCGGTATCAGATGACAAACAAAAATCAGTTTCGAAAGCTTTTTAGCTTTTACCCCTTCCGATCTCAACCCTGCTATGCAGGCACACTATTCCAGGAAATACAACTATTCCAGAAAATACACAAGGCGTACTTTTCCTGTAAACATGCCACGACCGATTGCTTTGTTCACTTTACTTCCTTTCCCTCCTGCCCTTAGATGTGATGGCAGTGAAACTAAGGTTTTTGAGGTGAATTAAAAGAAACGAAGCTCTTCAATATGTTTATGGATCGAGTTGGCTTAATGAAAGGTTTAATGAATGCACGAAAACAAGCACAGAACAAACATGCATGAACAAACAGGCTCATAGTCATGTGAAGAAACAATCCAATGACACAAATGTCTTTTGCCTACTAACACATTGTATACAAGTGGCAGTTTCCAACAGCTAAGCACAAATGTTCTGATGACTATCTTAAGTTACCAGTATTTTTTTGAGTAAATCACAATCATCTTCTATCTGAATTAATTTCAACTAAATAAAGTATCAACTACCTTTTCATATTATTAGCATGTCTCTAGTAACTGTAACACTACAAGTGGAAAACTTGAGCCTGTAATTGTATTGAAAAAGTTTTCAGTGCTCTATAGCAGAAGCTCCAAATTACTACTGTGGTCCAATGTCCTCCTTTCTCACTTTTCTCACTGTGTATTCATCTTCTGCTTTGCTGCTTAAGGAACTAAGATGGTTACTATAGTTTAAGTTGCCCCCACTTCACCAGCGATGCATACACACACACACACACACACACACACACGCACACACACACATAATTGACTGTAATGAAGAACTAAAAAAATGTATCAAACAATATATAAACACCAAAATAAGATATAATCAGAGTTAACCAGAAATATTCACCTTGAACATGATGACGCTAGCCAGAATTGTTAATGATGTAAACATCACGTAATATATAGGTGAAACAACTGCTGTATTGAATGTATCAAGGGCCTGCAAAAAGGATATGAATTCTAAATATCTTCCTAGACAAAAAACATTTAAAAAAGATTTTCCTAGAAAATAAGTTTCTATCCTGATTCCTGAACATGATATGAATCTGCATTTTATAAAGCTTAAAATACAGCAGTTTCCACCAGAAATGTCAAGAATTAATTAGCTGCATTCAGGTTCTGACTGGTCTGACTACAACAGATGCTCGCTCAGATGCTACAGTTTCAAGTATACACTTTTACATGCTCTTCAAATTAACTATTATAGCTACATCTCCTATGAAGGATTCAGCCCAAACAATGATAACAAATGAAATCCAGTGATAACAAAATGTACAAACATCAAGTTAAACTACAAAACGAAATAGCATTCCTACAAGAAATAAAGTAAATAATTATAAATCACGCAGGGTTGACCGGTTGATTGCTTTCACAGCACTAGTATGTAGCAGAAGCATAAATGCAAACGACCAGAAAGTCCTTGATAATCTGCAACAAGGGAGTTGATTTGTGCAGAGAGAAACTTTTGCTAAATAAAAAGGATATATTCGTGCTTAATTTACAGAGAAAATTTGTAGCAGAGTTAGTAAAATATGAGAACCATTTGCTATGAACTGTTAAGTAGTCCAGATGACCATTCACATGGCAGGAAAGACGACATTTTGAACTCTAGAATCTACAAAGTCAAAAATCTGTCTTATTAAGGGTCCATGGATAATCATAGAACATCTCTTTCCTGGAGATAACTAGTTATGATTTGTTTTTTCTTTTTTCTTTTTTTTTGTTGGGATCTTTGATTAGGACTGAGGTATTCATTTAGTTATGATTGAATTTGTTATTTTATTAGGATGTGTTATTTCATCATGTTATGTATTAGTTAGGATTGAAAGAGTTGTATTTCTTTATTTTCAGGGAAGGAGAGAAAAATGTTTATGTGAGAGACCTTATATGTGAATTGTAGTTAGGAATATGAGTTACTGACATGTGGAATGACCCTGCATGAAGCCCAACACTTTTACCTTTTTCCCTTAAATGAGAAGTTAAATTTCCATATTTTTGTTTTTTTATCCAAATAAGTCTCTTAAACAGATCTCCATCATCTCTTCCAGACCTCCATCATCCATTCCCACATCCATCATTTTAATCTTGAAGTCATGTTTCTTCAACCATAAGAGATTTGATGCAGGACAAATTGAAGATTGGCTAGTTACGACTTGAATTTTCTTTTAGTTGAGATCTCCAGTTAGGATTGAGTTTGTTCTTTAGTTATGATTGAATTTGTTATTTTGTTAGGGTGTGTTATTTGATGATATCTATTAGTTAGGATTAGATTTTTTTATTCCTATAAAAGGGATTGTATTTTTTTTATTTTAGGGGGAGAAGAGAAAAATATTTATGTGGGAAACTCTACATGGGAATTACAGTTAGGCATGTGACGTGCCCGTGTGCAAAGCCCAACATTTGTAGTATTTTTCCCTCTTGAATAAGAGGTAATTTCAACATTTATGTCTTTTATTTTTGTTTTATCCAAATAAGTCTCTTCAACAGATCTCCATCGCCCATTCCCCATCAACCATCATTTCCAGTTTAACCCAATATAAATTGCTACTACTCTACAGAGATCTAGCAATCAACTGTTACATAGTTATATGTCCTGTTGCAAACAACATCATCCAATGATATGAGTAGCAAATAGATGCCAATAGAAATATGCAAAAATACAGGAGAAAATGTAGAAGATGTTCATATCATAACCTTGTAACAGAACTTTCAGTTGTTTGCATGTATTACTCTTAGAGTAAACAGCATGCTAAAGAGACTTTATACAAACTGCAAAGAATAGGCCTCAAGCTTTCGACCAGGAAAACCAAATGTGTGAAAGCAAAAGCTTCAGGCAGTGTTTGGAAAGGGGAAGTATCAAAACCCTATATGGCAGAAACATAAGTCTCATGAAACAAGGTATAAATTCAAAAAAATTCCATTTATTTTAAACAAAATGGTCTAATTATAAAATAAAGGGTTTTTTGATATTAGTCCTCTAAATCTTTAGTATTTTGATATTAGTTACTCAAATCTTCATATTTTGATATTAGTCCCTCAAATATTCTATGTGTTGATATTAGTCCTAGTTAAAATGATGGGAATATTCTGCTAACTTTAACGTTTGGGGAAGTTGGACAGTTATACCCTCATCTTCTTGAGAAGGAACATGTAAAGATTGAGAGAGGGCACTGATGCACCCTCCAAATACATGGATACAATCCTTGAAGCTTACCAAAGAGAATATCTAGGAAAGACGATATTGATACAATCCTTGAAGCATACCATAGAGAATATTTAAGAAAGACGACATTGAAACATGAACAAATTTTTGAACGCCAGGTGACTAAACTCCATCAGCTTTATGGAGTTCAAAAGAACTTAATGGCTGATCAGAGAACCAATAGGCTCAATCAGTGCATCCATTTCCAGCACCAATCAGTCTTCTTATCTCTGTAACGACCATCATTCTCCTAAGAGATTGAATATAAAAAACTAGTTCCGAACAGGAATGCGATCTTAGTAAATTCAGAGATAAGTCCTTCATGGAGGAGAGATTTTTGTGCTAATGAAGACAATGAAATCAAGCTCACATTGAGCATTGGACGATAAAAGATGGAAGAAAGGGAGATGATGGAATCAAATTACTCAGGTTAGGTTAGTTCTGCATTAACTTATGTTGATGATTTCCAGGTGAGTTTTCCCCCCTCCCCTAAATTGGGTTTTATTTTGATTTAATGATGAAAGAAGGAAATTTTTCATTTGGAAAATGAATGTTTGTGGGGGCTTACATAGTTGGGGGTATGAAGGTAATTAGGCACCCACTGCTAGTCTAAACTTAACCAGGGTTGGAAGTTTTGAATGGAAAATTTAACGGAAGGACTGATATCAAGTATCAACACACTAATGCAATTTGAGGGATACTATCAAAATATGAAAATATGAGTGACTAATATCAAAATACCTATGATTTAAGGGACAACTATCTAAGAACCCCTAAAATAAAATGATAGAAAGGGAATTTAATCTTTTAGGAATTCTCTCTTTTTTTTTGGCTTAGCCCATAATAGAAGAACCTGCTTGCTTTCAAATAAGTGTGACAACAACAAACAAACATAGCAGAAGTTCGAGATATATTTTGTATTTTACTTTCTGCTGACTGTTTAGGTGTCCATTTAAGTCCTGTATGCTAATCAGTTAGGATTTATGATTAACCCAGGTTAAGGAATAAAGGTCAATCATGTCTATGGGTTAGCTTAACCAGGGTTAAAAAGATTCATGAGAAAAGAGGGAACTGTTTACCATTGCTTAAGTAGGCCTGAGGCGCGCGCCTCAATAAGCCTGGTGGAACCAGGTTCTACTCACCCTAGTTTTTAAAAAGCAATAGGCAACAAAAATGAGGGTTAAAAGTCTTTTGGCTCCCATTTGACCAGTTGCCAAACAAGCACTTGGGTTTAACCAAAGCTTATATAAAAGATCTTATCCTTTGACGGTTCACAAAAAACAAGTAACATTTAAGGTGAATTAGGAGACATGAGGTGTGTCTTTATTTGTTCTAGTATATCTGAAGTGCATGCCTCAATGTCCTGAGCACCAATGTTTAGCCCCTCGAAACATTTCTGAGCAAGAATCATTTTGTAACTTTCCCCAGGTCAAAAACAGTATCCCTTCCAATTAGAGATTTATCCCAAAAGGACTATGAAGCATAACACATAAAGGCCTTCAAGATGCATCATAAAGAGCTTCATAAATAAGTCTGAAGATTCTCCAGTCACCAAAATTTTCAAGTAAAGAAATCCATAATTCATATCAAACAGCCCTTCTAATTAGTATGTTTGCGAATACTATCCATTAGTAAAAAGAATATTTCTTCTTTATATCCCCAACCTAGCCTGATAATTAGTAACACCCACCATTTAAATTGAAGAGAGAGAGAGAGAGGGAGAGGGAGAGAGAGAGAGAGAGAGAGAGAGAGAGAAAGAGAGATCAACAACAGTGCTCTTGGAAGCAGTCATCTAGGAGGGTTATCATTTTTCTATAATTGTGTCACTGTCAAACCATACATTCACTTAGCAGTATCCCAATCCCTTAATTCGTTTATACTTTGAGAATAGAAGAGATAGTAACTATAGATGCATCTTAGAAAAAGAGGTCAGTGAGATTGACAATTTCCAGATGTTATGTGATAGCAAAGATCCAAGAAACATGAATGAAGTGCGAGAAATGAAAATGATATCATGGATACTTGAAGCAACACAAGAACAATCGTATTGATTTGTTCTAGAAAAATTTGCATAGATTTAAGACTGGAAAGAGAACTAGTTGAGATGGTCTTAGCATATACAATGAAAATCTGAAAGACCCATAAAGAAGGTGTCATGTATCTTTGTATTGAAGGGTCAAGAACAAGAACCAACCCCAGATGCATGATGCTCCTTACAATAAAACAAAAAAATATACTGCTGACACCATGCACTTTCCATGAAGGTATGATAGTCATGAAGTTCAATCCAACCCAAATGATAGACACGATTGTGGACATAATAAGAGAGTACTAGATGAGGGTCCAAGAAGCTAGAAAGCATCTCCAACTAATCAATATTTTATGACAGGCAGTCCTCTGAATTCTGAGATGCTTTGATTAGCTGATCTAAACCCACTGAACAATAATTACAATTTGACATGCATTATTTCGCATGCTTGAAATTCATAGGGGTTTATTAACAATTACACTATACTTCCTGGTTTAACGGGATTGTTACGGCTCTTGGACACTCCCTCAACTATACAATACATGTTTCAGTTTAAAACACTTGTCATACACATCTTGGACATATATCCACACTTCACAGAAACTTTTGAAATCTGCTGGACAAGAGTCAAGCTCATGTTAGCCCATATTCAGTTAAGAACTATGACTTCAAAGGATCAATTGTGTATCTAGCTTATAACAATGACTTCAGTCCATGCATTTCAGCCATGTCCCCGTACCCTGTCTCTTACAACCAGTTGTGTCCCATACCAGTACTCATACCCATATCCATGCAACTTAAGAGTGTAACTCCTCTATTTGATGATTTGTATATTCTAGTTAGCAAACTTCTAAAACCTGTCATCACAAATCAGACCATTTATTATTATGCTCGAGAGTTTCTTCATATAGTTATACATTCATATATGTAAAGCAGCTATTTTTAAGAAAAAGCACAGGCTCTAAGAAAAGCCCAGCTCATCTGCAATACCAAAAAAAGGCTGTATACAAACAACAAACTGTTTCGTTCCCAACTCCAAAGGTTTACAAACTGCAACTTTCAATGGACCCGTCCAAAAAAAGCTGATTCTTCTCAGACACTTGATTAGTTCATACTTTAGCCATTCCCTTTAGCATTGCGACAATATGATGATGAAACCAAATGTCTTACTATAATTTACAGCATATCAAAACTAATTAGACATGGAACTAGAAAACCATGAGTGAGATGTTTTCTTTCATGTTGGGAGAAGATAAATGGTGCAAAACAGTTCATTTATTATCTCGGGGTCAAGACTAACCAACGATGTCCAACTAAAACTTACTATATAGATAGTATGTTAACACTTCAATGACTAGATAACACCAACAGAAACGCAAAAGAAAATTTACAGCATTGAAGTTGATCCATTTACACTTGTGCGTAAAATTTACTGAGATCCAAAAACAACAATATTAAGCAGAAAGGTACAGGTATAAGTACCTTATTCAAATAGTTCATTTGAGTAATCACACATGTAATTACGACAATAGTAAATGCCCATGTTTGTGGATATATTAGCTGGTTCATCCCTGAAAATGTCAACTTCAGAGCTATTCCAAGAGCTTTCACGCTCATGACCTGAGCATGAATTAATATCATTACTGTGTAAGAAGTAGCAAAACTACAAGAAAACACAACAGGAACATGGAAGTACATTATGAATTCACATACATACCGAAAGAGATCCAACTAGAGAACAGACACCAATATACACCATAATGTGTGTCTGCCCGTACTGGGGTATGAAATAAAATATAAGTACAAATACTGCTGCCATTACCAGAGCTGCATAGAATAGGAAGGCTGCAGAGAATGCACCATTTCAGAAAACATAAAAATTTAAAATTTGGAATATATATAAAAACCAAATTGAACATGATGCATGTAACACGAAAGGTTTCCCTCTGGTATAATCTTTTTCTAAATGTAAACCTGGTTCAGTAGCCAAATCCCAGACCTCCGTTACAGATTCAATTTCCCGTTCTTGGGGGGCATGAAGAACAATTGTTGTTGATCCCACAACACATAAAACGCAACCAAGACTACCAAAAATATGTAGTCTCTCCCGCAAAATAATATGTGCTAATGCAGCACTGCAAGACAGATTGCAAGTGTCAAACTATGTGTGTAAAATTTTAAAGGGATTATTTAGATATTAGTCCATCAAATCTTCAATAACTCAATATTAGTCTCTCAAATCTTCAATAACTCCATATTAGTCCCTCAAATCTCAATAAATGCCCATTAGTCCCTCAAGTCCTAAGGGGTCTTGCAATTTGGTCCCTTAATGGCCAAAATAACCCTTACTTCAGATTTTTCTTAAATCCCATCTTATGGAGGAAAAAAATATTATTTGTTCTTTGGTACTCTAAAGTTCACACCTTTTTAGCTTTAATACCCCAATGTTTTTTAACTTTAATATCCCAATGTTTTTCAACACTTTGATACCCTAAAATTTACACCTTTTTAAACTTTGGCACCTTTAAGTTTTTTTTTTTGACACTTCCGTTGTGACAAAGTTTACACCTTTTTATCTTTGATACACCAAAGTTTTGTTTTTCACACTTTGATACCCTAAATTTTAGGGTATCAAAGTCAAAAATGTGTCAACTTTGAGGTATCGTAGTTAAAAATGTGGAATCTTTGAGATATGAAAGTTAAAAAGGTGTTCAAACTTTGGGGTATCAACGTGTCAATAAAAAGTTTAGGGCATAAAAATTAAAAAGGTGTAAACTTTAGGGTATCAAGTGTGAAAAAAAATTGGGTGTCAAAATTCAAAAAGGTGTGAACTTACAAGTGCCAAATTGCAAACAGTCCTTCAAAAAGCCATTAGCTAAGGATATTTTGGTCATTGAGGGACCAAATTGAAATAACCCTAGGATTTCAGGGACCATTGAGCAATTTCATAGATTTGAGGGACTAGTATGGAATCATTGAAAATTTGAGGACTAATATCTAAATAATCTAATTTTAAATTTGCAAGGTATGGGATGTTGAGACCGTGCCTGATTATTATGCTTAGTGCACCAAGAGGAGTAACCAGGATAGCCGGAGCAAATGCATAAGCTGCAAAATTAGCAACTTCTCCCACAATCACTGTTGCATAAGCATGAACTTCTTAGTGTGCATTCATCATGCAAAAATATAGAACAATAGAAAAATTCATGGCCACATCATCTGAGATATATAATGATGGCTATTAAGTGTGTTAAGAGGAAAATTCCTCGATGCAACACAACAAAATGATGATGTTAGGTGGATGAGCTGTAACACAAAAGAAGATAGGATAGGAATAATAACTGAGAAGGTGAAAAAGCTAGGGAAGGGATAAGAAATTCATGAAAAGTAAAGGTAGCTGTAGTTGAGGATAATAGAGAATTGCTTAAGGTTTTTACATGTCTAAGAGAGATGATAAGCGCACCACGTTGGAGTAATAGGGTCACAATTTTAACAGCTTCAAGGACAAAGACACAAAAACACAACATGACTCAATTATAACTTATATGCAAGTATATATCTATGTATTCACATGTGCATGTGTAACCTACAACTGGACCTCTTACAATTAGATGAGGTATAGTTACATAGACGAAACTTTCCTCTTATTACCACAAAAATTTTGTTGGTTACTAAGTAATGAAACCTTGGGATGCTTATAATGAAGCTGAATGGCCAAAAAATGATCCAAATAGCAGGCCACACTATTTCATAATGAAACCTTTGGTGCTTTTTCCCCCTCATTGTTTAGGCATAATGGACGAGCTAAATTTTCAATTCAGTTCTAAGAATATGATTCCAAAATTATGTGGATCAAGGTATTTATTGCATAATTTCATGAATAGAGGGCCTAAAAAACCTTTTTTTTTAGAATGGCCTAAAAAAGGTCAAAACATATCATGGATGTAGAGTCTATTGATTTAAATGATGGATAATTTGGTTCTCAACACCAGCTGAAGATTGTGGCATGCCAGACATCGAAGGTTCAACCAACCTATAAACTCTTTCTTGTCTAGAAACACATGAAGGATTTGCCAATCAACTAACAGAAGTTCAAATCATATCGTTGATGGAGTATAATAAAAATGGACATGCATTAATCAAAAAAGGTTAAAAGGCCTCACTTGTTATCATGCCTGCCCACCAGAGTGGCTCATATAGGTAAGAATAGCCACCAACTCCTGTTGGAGGTAAAAAGAAAGTTTAACATTACTAGATAATTATGCATACGTAATGGAGAAAGACTATCTTCTAACACACAAAAGAAACTAAAAGTACTTCAAAACAAAGTTAATTTCACAAGCCAATGTAACAAAGGGCCACATGACTTCAAGAAACCTTTTTGCAGGTAACCCGCCAAGAACATCTAGATTCTACTTGCTGAGCTTCTTTAAGTTGTTAGTATACCTAAATGACTGTTTTCTAAATTTCAAATGACTTTCTTGCTACAAAAGGTCAGCAACAGCCTTTAACTAGTTGGTTACTTTTCATAAGAAGAAGTAACTTTGGTATGTACAGCATTTAACCCTCACGGGCGCCAAAACCCAAGTGCTGCCATAAACAAGTGACTCAACCAATCATTTTACAACCCAAATTATGTGTAATAGTCTGCTTGGCCTAAGAAGGAAGATACTAGAGAAAGGGTTTCAATTCCCCTTATAAGAGTAAGACTTGATATAGTCTTGAGTTTTGGATGAAGCTTAGTCATTTAATTGGAATTTGTTGACTTTATTCTTTTGCAAATTAACGCAAGGTTGACCCTTCATCACTATTGCTCCTGCCTCGGCGTTTGACATCCTGAATATCCGCAGGTCGCTCTCTGGGATGAAAGTAGCGTATTTCCATCCTTATCCTCCGGTATTCAATGTTTATTAAACATATGCCGCACACTAACATGCTTGATATATTGTTTCACATATATTTTCCCACTCCAATAAGCAATTAATAGTTCTAGTAAACGGCTGGAGTAATTAAAGATGGTTTGTAAGAACAATCCATCAAAAACATTTTAAGTGCTAACAATCTCCCCCCTTTTTGATGTGACAACCCCATTAACTAGGCACAATTTCCTATTATTTTATAAGAGCATAAAATAAATTATAGGTACTGGTAGGTAGATATGTGCTCTTCCATTCAGATCTTCTTCTATGAGCTCCCCCCCAAATAATAATTATATTAAAAACAATGAGTGGCATTTGCTCCTCCCCATATAACACAGTGGTCACCATAAAAAATGGATGAAAGGCGCTAAGAAAATAACATGCAAAAATGCACTAAACAAGCAAGCAAATTGAACTTTCACATTAATTGGCATTAAGGCAAGGGATATAAAGGCCAAACCTATTTTCTTTATGCGACAAAGAATCTGGTATCCTCACAAGAAGGCTTAGGTAAATATGATCGACTAACCTTGAGGATCATGGTGTCAGTTCAAGCAAACCACTAGTATACTCTTGGTCTCTCTTACATAATCGGTAAGAAATGATGGGCACATTAATAGTGCTTGGGCTTCGCTAGAGTGCAAAACCGAATTTTTAGGAAATATTTATAGCACTGGGTTTATTACAAAAAGATTTTTTATTATTTTGAAAAATTTCAAAATCAGTAGTCAAAACCAAGCTTTGCTTTCATCCACAAAACTTGAGCCACAAACATAAGCCGCGCGGTAATGTATTCCACTTCCGTAGTGGACAATGCCAACACAATTTTGTTTCTTGGAAGCCCAAGAGACAAGTGAATTTCCTAATTGAATTGACATGTTCCACTCGTACTCCTTTGCTGATTCTACCTTACACTCCTGGCAAAGTCTCTGTAAAGGCCAGGAAAAGGTCATTTCCATCAACAAATAAACCAAGGTAAAAATCCAAATAGGAGGTGCCCTAATATTGGGAGTACACATAAACCAAGATAAAGTTTCAATTACATTACTTAAATGATCCTTAGTTAACCGCCCAATTAAATTGAGGATGCTTTAGGAAGAAGACTTAGTTAAAACAAGTTTGCACTTAAGATGCTTCAGGCTACACCATCAGAACACACTGGGATATCGTGCTAAGAAACTTACTTAGCGTGATTGATTAAAGCCAGGAAGGACTACCTATATACCTTCCGCATTTGATATTTGGATACAATCTAGATCAAGGAAGGTCACGCAGCTCAACAGTTTCATCGCATCAAAGAATTACACTAGTACTCATCGGGAGTAGGCGCGGGATGCTTAGAATTCTTGCCCAAATTGAATTTTAGGCTTCACCAATTCCTTGATCATCCATGATTGCTATGAAGAATGGGAGGAATAGGTACTCATCCTTAGATTCATCTGCTTTGACATGGAGAGCGACTACGAAGAATGTAGCTCACGTACCCAAATATGAGCTGATCTCATGAACCAATGATCTTGCATAACTTTAGGGAAGGTAATTCATAGTTCGCACCTATAAATTGATTCATTTATGGAACCAGGAAAAAAACCAACGTACCGAAAAATGATATCATCAACTATATCTTTTTGAACTAAAGATGAAATTATTTCCTTTTCTCGACAAAAAGAGTGTTATCAATTTGTTCGCTTTTGAAAAGACCACATACTCTTTCTAACCAAACCGAAAGACTAAGAAAAGAGGCTGATGCTTTCATACAATTACCCACAGTCTCTGGTCGGAGCTATGTTTCAAAACTCTTCTACTTTTCATAAAGCGTTTTGAAACATCTGGTAGGCAATTCCAATATTTAGGAATCAATCTCTACTTTCAGTCCAATGTATCTATGACCCCGGAGGCGAGGTGTTAGTGTAACACCATATTACAATAAACAAATCAATAATCTTTCCTTCCATACTTCTATAAAACCATTTAAAGCAGTCACTTAACATTCCAATTTGGATATTATAATTTTAATAATTCTTTACAACAGCTAGTTCAAATTTGCCAAAAACTAGTAGTGCTGAATTTTAATTTACTGCACTCGCGATTCCTTAATAGTCGTATATTCTAACCCTGTAGCAAAACCAATTTGACAAGTTGTTATAATGGTTTTCATTCATATGGCTTACTCTATTTCTTCCGCAAGTTACCCTCCTCTTGTATTGATTTTTCCTTGTTATTATTCGGGTACAACCAAACCTGAGCGTTATTTCTAGTTATAACCACACTATTTCCCTTGTTACATCAAAAGTTACTGATGTTTTCTAAAAATCCAATTTTTTGGATCCCAATATTACACTCATGCATTGTTTAGGTTCTAGGATACTAGTTTCAGCATTCATTTCTTTTAAATTGTTTAGTTCCTCATTGACATAGCTTAAAAGCCCAAATTCATATTTAAAAGCATTCATTAATCTTTTTAGGATCCACTCATTGAGAATAAAATGAAACTCGCATACTCAGATAATACCACACTCACTCAAAGATTGGCTTGAGGATTACCATATCAGTGTAGTAGTGTAACAAACTCCTTGTTGGGAAGAAGGCTGGGACAATCATAATTATAATATACTGACTTCCTTTGGATCGGTTTGATGCAATCTTCCAAGCTTTAGGAAAGCTTCAACTTGTTCATGAAGGCATTGGATCTATTCCACATCCTTTGTGTGGCTTTCTATAGCAGGGATATAGAAATCAATTTGATTTTTAAAAAGTTCCAATCGGCTCCCTCTTATCAATCTATTCATCATTGCCATGACGGTAAAAACAACTTTGAGAAACTAACATTGACGCTCATCAAAAGTACGTTTATAAATTCTGTCATATCACAATCTCCAGATGCAGTAATCTGTTGTTGAGAGAAACCCCTATAAGCCTTACACTTTTCGAGGTGCATAACCTAAGAAAAATACCAACATCAATTTTGGAGATCAAATTTGTCATGGATGGGATTTGGTATATTAAAATTTAAAATATTTGCCCGCTTAAATCAAAAGATACGAAAAATAACCAGATAAGAGGAAGTTTTCCATAATAGTTCATAAAGAGTTTTCTTGAGCCTTTGCGTTAATTAAAACACGAATCTTATTAAATACATGGGGCAAGCACTAATCTAGTATGATTGACGGGCTTCCGCCCTCAAAAATATCTTTGGCAAATCAAATGAATTTAGCATTAGTGCGGTGGCCATCTCTTGTATTGTCGATTTTCTTTTTCAACAACACCATTTTTTTGTTGGTGTTCTAGGGAGCGGAAACCCAATGGTGAGTTATACCATGATGAGCACAAAAATTCATTTAGAAAAATTCAATTTTTTGAAAAAAAATTCACCTTCCATGAATCACTTCTTATTTTAAGACAACTTCAAATCTTTTTCAATTTTAATTTCTTTTTGACATGCATTAGAAATATTCTTCAAAACAAGATTATTTTTATTTTGCCCAAGAAATATAGTCCATGGTAACCTAAGAAAAAATTCATTAAATCACAAATACATAGTGTTTGCCTCCAGGAGAGTAACAGCGCATAGGACCAAATAGGATCAAGTGAAGTAATTGCAGGAGGTTTTTGAGTCCGTACATCATTGATTGGATTTTGAAAGAATATTGTTTGTTTACCCTGGCACATCTTCCATATGGCTATCCTTTGATGAAGTGCAAAGTTAGGTAACCCTTTTACAAGATTTCTCTTAGGGACAATGTTTGATATCAATTCCATGTTGTATGTCCAAGCCTCTTATGTCAAATCCAGAGATTTTCATCATTGCCGCAAGGCCACTTCACTCTGATTCACTTAATCATTCATCTGCAAAATGTACACATCTAGATTTACGATTAGCAACAAAAAAAACAAATTTTCCATTCATTACTAATAATGCCATGTTTGTCCGGTTTAAAGGAAATTATCAAAAACCTTTAGTCACTAATTGGCTTAATTGCTAAGAGATTATGATTCAACACCATTTACCAAATAAGACATTCTTCTATAACGGTGAGGTTCTTACCAATAGAACCCTATACCAATGATTTTAACCTTTCTCACCACCCACGAAGGAGACACTACCTCCTTCAATCCTTGATTAGGTGTTGCAAATTAACTCTTGTTTGGCCCGTGATTTGATTGAGAGCAAACCCTAATTAAGGTACCACATCTTCATTTACGTCGGTTCTATGGCCAGCGTTGATGGGTCCCCTACAGAGAGGAAGGGTATGTGAGGTGGTAACTTAGAGTACCCAAGTGGCTTGGGTCTCGTTTGGGTGGTTAGATAAGGCTTGTGTAC